CCCATCTCGATCCGAGGGAGCAGCTGATCGGCCTTTGGATGCTTCGCAATCATCACTCGGCAATCCCTGTACGAGGCTGGGGGAAACTTTGAAGTAAACCATCCCTCTCCTCCGCCACCACCGAGCGAGAGCAGCCCGCTCCGAGCGATGGAGGGTGTCCCTCCCGGCTGTGAGGAAGGGACAAGGACGTTCGGCTCTGTCTCGCTGGTGAAACGCAGTCCACCTGCGCTATCCCGTGCGCGGCTCCCTCGTCCAGCGGGCAAGACCCCAGGCGAAAATACAGGCCAGGTCAGTCCCTCCGTCTCCGATCCTCGCCAACTTCTCTGCCGCCTCACCGCCGGCAACCCCCCACACCCCCACCCCCCAAACCCTAACCCCTCAGGCTCACTCTGACCTCTCTGCTCATTCCTGGATGCCCGCTCCCCGTTCTCCACCTCCCCCCTCCCCATTTCGAGATCACGCAGGCAAAAGACATTAAAGAGAAAGCAGCATTGATCTGAACCGACGGCCTCGATCGTTTGAGTTAATTTGCGCTCAGAGTCAGGCGGCTCGGAAATGAAGGACCAAAAAGACAGGGGAGCCGCACACGGCGGTCGCACAAATGGACCACATTTCACCTCGGACTCAGCAAAGTGGTGCGAACGAGCGGAGATTGGTGGCGGGGAGGGTGGGGAATGCGGTTCGTTCGTGACGGATGACAGCCAGAAGACCCCTCGGGTCTCTCTGTTCTGTCTGCCTCGCTGTTGTTTTTCTCTCCCAGCCTCTCTTCCCCCCCCCCCCCCCCCCCCCCCCCCCCCCGGCCGTCGAGGTGCGCGGCTGCGTTGGCAGCTCTTCCGCGACCAGCGCGTCTTCGCGGGAACGAGGGATCAAACTGGGGAAGTGGCCCTTCGGAAGGAAGGACATTCCGCTCAGCCAGGGCTCGGAAACTCTGCATAACTTTAATTCTCGCCGGCCTGCACCCTCCCTTTTAAACTTCTTACCAGTGTCTGCGCGCGTGTTTGGCGACAGATCTTTGTCGTGTCTCTTTCCCCCCACCCCCGGGCGTCAGATAAATATAAGGCGCTGCGTTTTCCTCACGGACTTATACACGTTAACGGTGAGGTCCCTGGGGGGCGTCGCTGAACAGAGAGACCTCTCGGGGGTTGGGGGGAGCAGGTACGTAGTCTCCTGAAAGCGAGGTGGTGGGGGTGGGGGG